TATCAAGATTTAATTTGAAGATCACATATCAACTTGAAAAATAATAAGCTTTATTAGATGCTTTTTTTAAATATTCTTATTTTACACCAAAAGAAGGAGACATATCTTTTGATTAATAAAAAACAATCTTCTTGAAGCCAAAGTATTTTCATCTTTGAGCAATGAAATCAACATTGCCTATTGATTTGACCTTTGTCAAAAAAATTCAATCAAGTATGTCCTCTGATCTTTTTATTCATGATATCAAGAATCTTTCTTCTAAGTCTCATGATGTTTCAAAGTTTAAGTTTAAGAACAATATTTTCTACTTCAAAAGATGCCTATATGTTCTAGCAGGAGTAGCACATTTACGTGTTTTTCAAGCACATCATGACTTTCAAGTAGCAAGACATTTTGGATACAATAAAAATTTAGAGCTTATATCTAGAGATTTTTGGTTGCTGTAAATGTGGAAGGTGATAAAAGACTTTATCCAATTATGTGATATTTTTTCAAGATCAAAAACTCCTCATTATCAATCCTATGGACTTTTTCAACCATTGTTTATATCCAAACAACCATAGTCTTCTATTTCTATGGATTTTATTACAGATCTTTCAAATTCAAGTTCATATGACTCTATATTCATAATCGTAGATTGCTTCATCAAAATAGCTCATTTTGTATCATGTACAAAATTTATTTCAACTAAAGAAATAATCAAGCTTTTCATTGAAAATATCTATCGCTATTATGGATTACGAAAGGATATTATATTAGATAGGGAGATTCAATTCGTATCAAGATTTTAAAAAATCCTATTTAAGATTCTAAGGGTGGATATAAAGCTCTCTTTGACTTTTCATCTTCAAATTGATGGGCAAACAAAATAGGTGAATCAAGTTCTGGAGCAGTATTTGAGGTGTACCATCAACTATCATGAAGATGATTGGACATCTCTTTTGCCATTGGCAAAGTTTGCATACAATAATTCTATACATTCTTCTACTCAACAAATACCTTTTTTTACTAATTATGGTTATCATCTACGACTTGATACTTTTGACTTTTCAAAAGTTGATAATTCTATGGCATAAGATTTAGCAAATTATTTGTCAGAGCTACATGCAACAATGATGATACAATGAAAAGATGCTCAAGAATGACAAAAGACCAATGCGGATGCTTATCACAAGGAGCAATCACAATTCAATGTAAGTGACAAGGTATGGTTATTTTGTTGCAATATCAAGACTACTCATCTTTATAATAAGTTGGACTATCATAGGTTAGAACCTTTTTCTATTTGTAAAAAAATCAATCCTTTTGCTTATTGATTATATCTATCAAATTCTATGAAGATCCATCTTATATTTCATGTATTCCTTCTTGAGCCAAATAAGATAGTGAATATTTTGGGAAGAAGACAAATGCCACCTCCCTTTATAGAAGTGGATAATAATTAAGAATTTAAGGTGGAAGAAGTCTTAGAATTAAAGGGATGCTAAAATAGATTAAAATATCTTATTCACTAATGGAGATGATATTAGTGAATGCTTATGGGAACCATTAAAGAATCTTACAAATGTAACAAAGAGAATTGAAGCCTTTTATTGATAACTTCCATCAAAACTAAGATGAAGAATTGCAAAGATCCATGAAAGATGATGATTGCATCTTGTAGAATTCGTTCCTAGATGGGAAAGTAATATCACGAATATATACATTTACTTTAATAGTTACATATATGATTTGGTAGAAATAAGTAAATATAAATTAATTTCATAAAGTCTTTTAGAAAAGCTTCCTAGAAGCTTCATAGATGTGGTTTTGATTTTAGATGTATTTGTAGGATAGAAACTTGGCCAACAAATTAACTCAATGTAGTAGCTTGTGGAACAAGCTAACTATGTGGCACATATATAAATAACTTGCCTTGCAAGTTAATACATGTGGCTAGCAAAGTCAACACTTGTTGGAGGTCCTATAGAATATTGCCACGTAACTCCTAGTTAAAAAGTATATATAGAGACAAGAATAAAGCCTTTTTTACTCTTGTCAAAGCCTTTCTAGTTTTTAGTCTTGTTTCAAGACTTTCTAATCTTCTTATTTTTTGCAATAGCCCTTCTAATTCAATATTATATCATCTTTTAGTGACTTTCTACTTCCTTTCAGTGATACAAGAGTGTATTGAGGATTTTCTTTCTTTGAGATTCGTGTCCTTGACATAATGCTTCCTAATTGCAAATTAAACTTCTACTTACTTTGAATGGCCATAAATGAGACAAAGGAAAGTAAATAAGAAAAATAATTGATATAGACTTCTTTAAAAAAGAATAATGAGTAGTTTTTAGCAAACATTACCTTCAAAAATAATGAATTATTATCCAAAGAAAATGAATCATGAATCAAGGTCATAATTATGTATCTTTGGTAATTTTGGGATAATTTCATTGATCAAAGAATAGGATATGAGAGGAAATTAAAAAAAAGTTTTTTAAGCAATTATTTTGAAAAATTTGTGTTTATAATGACTTTGATGTGATATTAAATTTTTGAGAATTATAAAAAGTTTATACTTTAAAGAATTTCTTAAGATTGATAGTTGATTTATAAGTGGAATTTTGTGATTGTATAATCATAATTGGGTTAAATGTGTATCATAAGTTTGAGCTTGATCAAATGGTTTATTTGAAGGTAATTAAAATTTAAGTATATTTGGATCTGAGAAATTAGAGTTTAGAGGACTAGTAAAGGTTTTTGAGATTTGTAGCAATTTATCCATTAGATTGAAATAATATGTTTTATACTTATATTAAATTTAATTTTTAAAAATTTCAAAAAATTTGAGAACTATTAAATGGTAAATTCAGGAGATATTGGCACTAGAGGATTAGCATGAAGGCTGGAGAAGATAGGTTGCTAATACTTGAGTGAATTATGAAGTTTATCTTCAATTTGGTAAATTTGATCTTCCTCAAATTTTTATTGTTTATTATTAATTAAATAATTAAAAGATATAAAATTTGTAAATCTAATTCAATAATTAAGTTTTTAGTTATTAAAATTTTAATATATTAATTAATTTGGTAAGGATTTACTTAGAATTTGTTAAAAATTTTATTAGGATTTGTTTAGAATTACATTAGGATTTGGTTGGAATTTACTTAAGATTTGTTTAGAATTTTATCAAGATTTTTTTAAGATGACAATAAAATTTGGTTAGGATTTATTTAAGATTTTGTTAGGTTTTTACTTAGGATTTTACTAAGATTTGGTTAAAAGAAATCTCAAGAAATCTTAAAGAAATCCTTTAAAAAATCCAAAAAAATATATAAAAAAATTTACAAAAATATTAAAGAAATACTAAAAATAATTACTTTGATAAGATTATTATTGCAATTTCTAATTTATCATTTACATCCAAGTGCTTGATGTGTTTTTAAGCAAGACTTCATGTAATATGACAATAAAAGTAGGAAGTTGGAGATGTGGTTTGGGACAATAAAGAAAGAATCTTATGCAGCCAATCAAAGGCTTTGAGGGTGTAGCAATTTTAGATATGCTTATAGCGTAAGCCAAGTTTATTAAGGACACCAATTTGATTATAAGGAATTCTAAAACATTAATATTCTATTTAAAATATAAAATAATAATAATAATAATAATAGTATGTAAAGATTTTAGATCATACGTCTATAATATTATATTTTAAACTTGAAATTAAAAATATAATATTTTATTTATTAAAAAATAAAAAATAAAATAAAAAATATTTTATTATAATTAATTTTAATTATATATCACACATTTGATAATTTATTACATATTATTAATAAAACATAAATTCTTCAAATGCATAAATAATTTTAAAGAATATAAAAATGATTAAATTATATTTCAAGAAAAAAAAACTAATTACCATAAAATGTGTTTTTAATTAAATTTTTTTAGAATAATAAAAATAATAAAAAATTATACATTTAATAAAATTAAGATAATAATAAAAATATATATTACTTCATAAAAAAAATAAGGATTCAATATTAAAAAAGTGCACTTATAAATATATAAAAAATTAAAATGTAGTAATTCCTATATTGATGGATTTATTTTTAAAAACCTTTATAATTTATTTTAGATGTATATCAAATAATAATAGATCATTTAATGATTAGATATATATATATATATATATATATATATATGTGTGTGTGTGTGTGTGTGTGTGTATATGTATATACACTTTTTTCTGTAAATATCATGTACCATTTTGTTTAAAATAATTTTTTTTAATATTTATGTAATGGAATAATTCATATTTGGTTACAAAATTGAAATAATATTTTAGAAACAAGTTTACTTCTGATGTTAATTTTACATAACTGTATGATAGTAAAATTATATACATATTTCTTATATAAAAATATGAGTATTCACACATTTTTTTTCTTTTTTTCATAAGAAATAATTTTTCAAAAGAATAGTATAAACATTTAAAACACTGCTTAAATAAGATTCCTAGCTATTGGAATTTTATAGGATTAAAAATTACAAAAATAAAATAAAATATATAATCAAAAATCAAAAAAAAATCTAGTACATTTACCTTTTATATTTTATGTTTTCTTTTAAAAGTACAATATATTGGTTTGTAAGACAATGTTCTGGATGCATCAAAATGAGATTCAGCAAACAATAACTTGAAAGACCTTGATACAAATCCACATGGTACTATTGTACTTCTATTGCCATGGAAAACTATACCATGAACAACCATTGCAGCCAACCAGAGTAGAGCACAACCATAGAACACAACAAGCTAAATCAAGAAAAAAAAAAAAAAAAAAAAAAAAAAAAAAACTCAAACAAAGTAAATATCAAGTGGAAGTGAGCAAAGTAACCAAACAAATCCAAGTGAATCAAGACAAGTATAATCAAAAGCACAACAAAACAGGTTCAAGCAAATGCCAAACTTGATTAACAGCCATCAACCATCACACATGCAAGACAACAAAGGAGGCAAAGAAGAAGCGGAGATTAAATGAAGAGTTCAAAAGAAGCCCAATTTACCCATCAAATCCTACAATGGCAAGGCACATAATTAAGACTAAGGCGGATGAAGAAGGAAGCATTAACCTCAATACCGTCAGGTCTACCACATATATTAACAAACTGAGTGGGGCGGGTAGTAGTGAGAATTTGGCTCGCTGCCCAAAATTGGCTTAAGAGGGTTGGGCAGCGGTGAAAGTTCTACATGCTGCCCAACCCCCAGTGGATGGATGTCCCTTCGCTCGTTCATCCATCCACGGTACATCCCTACGGTACAAACCGCAAAAGGGGGGGGGTGTGTGGTTTCAAAGGGCAAAATGTAAAGTTATCAAAACCCATATAGACACCAAAAATTCAAAACTAATAGAGAGAAAAAGGGCACAAGATAATGCGTGAATATGTACCTAAAACCTCCGAAGTTTCCAGTAGAAGTCCAAATCCACATGTCCATATTTGTTTTTCCAACTCTGTAGGTCGTTTCAAGTTTACGGTAGAATAGATATGAAAGGCATGGGATTCCTGCATCTTACCTGCGTAACCGCATCTAGATCTCGGATCCTTTTCGACTGAGACCGCGAAATCGATCGCGGCGTACAATCCTCGAGGTGCGTCTGTACAAAATTCGAGCATGCGGATGGAAAAAGTCTGGAAACCGTGTCTGGATGATCAGCGAGCTTCGATGGGGTGGTTCGAGTATCCGGTAGACATTTGCCACTCCTGCGACGCACTGGACATCTTCGACAACGCGAAACTGATCTGCTTCATGTCGGGGCGCGACCTCGGATCCGTCTCCACGCACGACTTCGCCAGGATGGCCACGCTGAGGGCGATGTCGCTCGGGTAAGCGTTCTGCAATCGGGGGTCCATCCAAGCTTGCAGCTTTGCCATCTGGTCGTCGCCGCTAAGAACGTTGGAGATTGTCGCCGACAGCATGGTGAACTCTCCCCCGCCGTCGTTGCAGATCGCCTCCCGCCCAGATAGCAGCTCCAGGAGCACCACCCCGAAGGAGAACACGTCGGCCTTGGTCGAGACCAAACCGTGCTCTAGATACTCTGGAGCCATGTAGCCTTGTGTGCCGACGATGTGCTCAGTCATGAGGGGGCCAGGCTCCCCGCTGTCAGCAGGTTTTGCCATTCCGAAATTGGCTACTTTGGCACGAAAGTTTTTGTCCAGAAGGATGTTGCTGCTCTTCACATCCTTGTGCACCAAGCTAGGGTTGGTGTAGTTGTGCAAGTACTCTAGCCCCGAGGCAATGTCCACCGCTATCTGCATTCTTGTGTTCCAAATCAGCAATCCAACAGACCGTGAGAAATTGGAGGTTGGATATGCCATTTGGTGATGAAGACAGTCACTGAGCGAGCCGTTCTCTGCATACTCGTAGACGATGTAGAGATTCTCCGAGCGCCCATCTGAGTCCCTTGCACACATGCCAACCAGCTTCACCTGCAGAACACGTGCAAAAGCACCAAGATAGCTCAGAAAACATCACAGTAAAAAATCACCGCCCCTTTTTCATGATTATAATAGCAAAAAAAATAAATTGTTCAATGTCTCAACTGGGGAGAAAATAGGCACTGAAGAATTACCACATTGCCATGGTGAACCTGGGACAGAATCTTGAGCTCGTCCGACATGTTCCCTTTCATTCGCTTGATTGCTACAAATGACCCGTTCAATTTCGCCAGGAAGACGGATCCCTGGATTCTGTTGTCTTCGCTGAAATGATTTGTGGCCGTGTCCAGCTCTTCATACGAGAATTTTGTAAGCTTATCGCAGCCAAACAGATCCGTCATGCCACTAACCAAGCTAGAGTTCGCAGTGTCAAGAGAGTCGATATCCGTTACAGAGGACTTCCTGTTCAACAAGCCTCTGTTCTCGTACTCTATCTTGCGAATAATGTTCTTGTAACGTTTAACAGTAGCACACAACACACATGCCAGGATAAAAGCCAAAGCCATCCCGAAGCCACCAAAGACGATGCCAATGTACATTGACGTCTTGGATGGATCCTTGTTGGTGATCACAGGAACAAGGGTGGACGGTGCTGGACCTGGTGCTTCCACCGAGGGCGGAGGAGGTGATGGAAATTTCATCGTGCTCAAAGGTACAAGACTCGGAAGAGGAACAAGCAAAGTAGTAAACGCTGCTAGATTTGCTGAACTCGCCCCGTTGTTTGCAGTTTGTAACTCTACTTCCGGAATGTTGAACAGACCGCTGATAAACTTTAGGGTTTCATCAGGGAAGATCGAGTAAGTGAGCAAAATTCGAGAACCAGCCCTTCGTTGCGTAGTCGTAGGACAAGCGCATCTCAATGGTATCACCAGGTAGTCGCCTACCGTCATGTTAGTGATTATGACTGTGGGGTTTGCGACGCTAATGGCTTCCCAGGTAGTGAGCCCCTGGTAAGTTCCATTGGCGAACTTGTACATCGTATCGCCGGACTTAATCTGCTGAGACGTAAGTGCTCGAAAAGTATTATTGAAACAGCTACAATTAAGAGGGATGTAGAGAGGGTCTCTATCATTGAAAGGGATTGTCCTGTTAGGATCAACATCACTTGCAGTGGCAATTCCTTCGACGCTAGTGTTGAATAGCGTAACTATGGATGTCAGAGTTGATTGCGACCCTGCCGTTCTGTAGAAAGCGTAAGTTTGGCATCTTGTAGTGCCCGAGCATGTGTATCCGCTGGTATTTCTGTACTGTTGTTGAGCACTAATAGGATGAATTTCAAGAGACCAGATGAGCAGTGCGGAGATCAATACCAGTCCGGAAGCGTGTCGAAACATCCGTCTCTGAGTAGGATCCCGCTCAGCTGTCGTCATGATGGTGCATGCCCTGGACATGATCTTGCAGCATTCGCTCTTCTGTATCCTATTCGGACCGAGAACCCTGGAATTCGACGAAACTTGCAAACAGTTCTTAAACGCTGCTCACAAGCATTGAAGGACGTACAGAAAGGCTTCATCTTGCCCCTCGCACTCTCAACAGCAGCATCTCACACGATAGCAGCCAAACAGATTTCCTCAGGCAACACAACCCTGTTGCGGCGAGTGTAGTGAACTAAAGCATTGGTAACAAAAAAGCATCTTCTCTCAACATAAGATCATGGCATTCACCGAACCAGAATTGAAGATTCGAGAACAAGGAAGAGAAACAGATCTTCAAAAAAATTCACTAACCCATCAACCACAGGCACCTTGCTCCACTAGGCACAATATCCAAACTCTTTACCTATTAAAAACTCAAACCCCAAAACATATAACAATCCCCCACAACGCAATCACCTCGAGAAGACAACATCCGACAGGTGACGATTATCACACACGAAAAGGAAGAACTCAAAACCTTAGAAGAAGTATCGATTTCATGAGATTGCTCATCTAATCACCCACAATCGAAACCCAGAATTCTAACTGCCTCACGGACAGGTAGATCACTTACCTGCAAGTCGCACACAGAAGTGCTACTGCAGTGATGGGAAAGTTTCCCCCAGCGCTACTCCTCGACATCCATCCTCGCACAACGCAGGTGCAATCAACTTCAAGCACTTCACAAGACTCATGGATGGAACAACTTTTCAAAACTGGTGCCAGTTCTATAGAGAGCACCAGTGATGGTCACACGGCGTTCCTCAGTAGCTGCCAGGTTCGCGGCACCCTTGACCATTTAAAGAAACTGTAGCAACAGAAAAACAAGCATAGGACTTGTTGGTAGAGGTTGAACCCAGTCCCCCCACCCTGCAACCAAAAACGCACGGACCTTAGGATGAAATCTCACGATTCCCTCACCAACATAAACTTCCATGCTTTCAGTGACCAATTCGGCTTTGTTTTTGAGAAGCAGCAAACCGACTCATCTAATGGTTTCGATCTACCATACGTCATTTCTCATCACTTGCACGTCGACATCGATTCACCCACTTCGAATCCTACATCATATATATATATACATATACATATAATGTCCTCAAAACACGCTGATTTTACCATTTTAGGACCTGGACGCGACACGAACTGCCGGACTCCAATGCAATATTCTTCTTCCAAAGCTGCGACGACTTGTGAACTGGCCCCCATCGCCATCATCGTCCTCGCAGCATTGTTCATCACACAATCCAGATATTGTTACAGAATTCCACACCGCGCCTCTGACCACGCGGAGTCGACCTTGTTCGATGCATGTGTACCACCAGACTGTTTGTTGTTTGTTTGTGTTGATATCATTAAATGTAGCCTGCCCTCTCCATAATATTTACTGTAGATTATAGTAATTACCATAGCTACAGTATTTAGAGTCTAGTGGAGAAGTACTGTTTATCTTCTCTTCTTGTATACGAGACACATCCAAATTATATATTTTTGTTTTTTCAAGTTCAAGTTTATCATTTTATTTGACTTTATATTTTAAGGTATGTTCTACTCAACTTTTCTACTTGATCTTGTATTTTCTTTACAGATTTATTTATAATGAGTGCTTCAACATCTTCAACTGCTTCTACTATGGTTCCAACTATTACTAGTGCATCCCAACATTTTCAAGCTCTTTTATTTCTACCATTGACTATGGATGGAAACAATTATCTATTATGGGCAAAAATGGCAAAAGCAAATTTATTTGTAGAAAAACTCTCGGATGCTATTATGTTTGAAGAATCTCCTACAACAAGTATTTCTATATCTCTTGCTATTCGTTGGAAAGCACTTCTTCTCTTTCGTTGTCATCTTGTACCTGCATTACAACATCAATATTTGGAAATGGAAGATCCTACAGAACTTTGGAAGAATCTTAAATCTAGGTTTGATCATCAAAAGACCATTTTTCTTCTAAGTGCACGTCATAATTGGACACATTTACATGTTTTGGATTTTCCAAATTTAAATGCTTTTAATAGTAAAATGTATAGTATTATCTCACAATTACGATTATATGGACAAAGCATTTCTGAAGAAGAAATGATTGAGAAAACTCTCTCTACATTTCCTCATGTATCTATTGTACTTGTACAATAATACAGGAACATGAAATTTCAGAGTTATTTTGATCTCATGTCCTATCTACTTCTTACAAAGAAGCAAAATGAGCTACTCTTGCACAATGTGGAAGCTTGTCCTATTGGAACTATAGTTCTAGAATCTCATGCACTTAATATTTCAAAGTCTAAGAAGAAATTATATAAACATGGGAAACGTGCTCATAAATATCAGGGTAGTCATAGTCAAGACCATTTCTATCCATACGAAAAGAATAAACATTCTACTATTAATTATAGTAGAAAATAAAAATCAGAGATATGTTCTTGCCATAAGTATGGAATGATTGGACATTTAGTACATGCATGCCGTACTTCAGAATATTTTATTAAAATATTCAAAAAAAATAAGAAATTATGAGCTGAGGCTCATGAAGTTCATACCATGGATGCGTCCATGGATTCAATTGGTATTGATGACTTAGAGGCTTATATAAATGATAGAACTTCTAATGATGAATCAAATGATGCACTCATTGATTCTACAACAACACATACTATCTTACGAGATAGACGATTTTTTATTAAAAAATTTTCAACTTGGTAAACTAAAAATATGATGACCATGGCTGGAGCAAATGCGTCTTGTTTCCAAGAGGGCATAGCAATGGTAAAATTACCTACGGGTTCAATCATAAAATATAAACATGCGATGTTTGTACCCTTAGCACCTCGGAGTTTGATCAGCTACCGAGATGTGCATATTAATGGTTATCACCTCTCAACCACCACTTTAAATAGATAAGAGATTTTGGTTCTTGCAAAGAAGCATAAAGTTGTTGAAAAAGCTTTTGCTATAGAAAATGGTTTATATCGAATTGTGATTCAACCTCCCATTATATTTAATTTTGTATCATCCATCTCAGAGAGTCATGTTTTTCTTTGGCATGGACGATTGGGATATCCAGGATCCACATTATTTAGAAGATCATTCCATGTATAACTGGATACAATTTAAAGCCTGTAGATGTAGACTCTATGGAATTATGTCGTGCATATGTGTAAGGTAAAATGATTACTCGGCCTTCAATTTGAAAACTTCTACAAGAATTACCACCAATACTTGAAAGATTGCATCGTGATATTTGTGGTCCTATTAATCCAATATCAAGACCATTTTGTTATTTTTTGGTCCTTGTTGATGCATCAAGTAAACAATTACATACTTCATTATTATCAACTCAAAACATGGTGTTTGCCAATCTTATATCTATGCTTATTCGCTTTCAGGCACATTTTCTTGATTATCCTATAAAAACATTGCATATGGATAATGCAAAAGAATTTGTATCAAAGTCTTTTGAAGACTATTGTACTACAACAAGAATCAAGTTGACATATTGTGTTCCATATGAATATGCTCAAAATGGACTTGTAGAGTCATTTATAAAGTGTACACAATTCATTACCCGACCACTCCTCCTTCACGTAAATCTACATGCATCTATGTGGAGTCATGCAGTTTTACATGCTGCAGCATTAATATGCCTCCGTCCTTCTTCTCTCAAAATTATTTCACCACATGAGGTCATTTCATGACATGATCCAAATATATCTCACTTACGAGTATTTGGTTGCCGTGCTTGGATTCCAGTACTAGAACCTCAACGGCGTACCATTGGAGCTCATCGACAAGAAGGCATATATGTTGGTTTTGATTCACCAAGCATTATTCGTATTGTTGATCTATCAACTGGCACATTATTACATGCACATTTGCAAAATTGCCGTTTTGAAGAAACTGTATTCCCATCTCTTCAAGGAGGAGTATCCAATCAACAAAGAAATAAAGTACTTATATTTAAAGCACCAGAAATGTTTACAATGAATCCCAATCTTAGGTCATCTTTGGCAGAAATTGAAGTTGCTAAGATTTTGCATTTAAAACGGATTGTGGATGAAACACCTGATGGCTTCAATGATGCACCTAGAATTACAAGAGTTCCTATTAATGAGGCTTAGAATGCACCTACTCAGATTGGAGTGCCATTGGCTACAATACCTCAAGTTATAACAACAACAACTAAAAGAACTCGTGGACCAGATAAGCAACCACGTAAGAAGAAAGCTATAAAATTAATTAATTTTGATATTATTTCTCAAAAAATTGCTACTAATCTTACAAGACTACCAATTCATGATGATATATCCATACATAATATACCTTCAATTCCTATGAAAAATAATCTTGGAATTAGAAGGAATAAGAATAAGTTGAGTAAAGAATTATCTATTTTCTATTAAGCTACAGATATTATTTGGGACATACCATCTATTACGGTAGATGAATCATTTGTATATATGATTATAGAAGCCCTTTCTTGTGAGGAAGACAATCCTGAACCTCAAACCATCGAAGAAGCGATGCGTCGCTCAGATTGGTCAAAATGGAAAACTGCTATTGAGGAAGAGTATGCTTCTTTGCGTAAGAAGAAAGTCTTTGGTCCAATTGTAGACACTCTTACATCTCGCCTTGTGGGATATAAAATGGTATTAATATGCAAGTGAGATGTTCAAGGCCAAATAACCCACTATAAAGCTCATCTTGTTGCTCAAGGATTTACTCAACGATTTGGCATTGATTATGAATCCACATATTCTTTAGTCATGGATTCAATTACATTTCGATATATTATTGGAATGACAGTTCATGCCACCCTTGAGATGCATCTGATGGATGTAGTAACTGCATATCTATATGGTTCTCTTGTTGCAAATATTTATATGAAAGTTCCACCTGGCTTAGAAATAGGAACTCCAAATCAACCCGCTCTAGGAAAATATCATAGTATTAAATTATGTAAGGCCTTGTATGGTTTAAAATAATCCGAACGAATGTGGTATCAATGTCTTTGAGATTATTTAATTACAAATAATTTTATGAGTGATCCACTAATCCCTTATTTATTTATCAAACGAGATAAAATTGGTTTTGTGATCATCGTTGTATATGTTGATGTTCTTAACCTAGTGGACACTACATCTGTATGTATTACAGCTACAAACCTACTTATACATGAATTTGAGATGAAAATACTAGGAAAAATAACTTTTTGCATTGGTCTTTAGATTATGCATCTAATAGATGGTAGCATTTTTTTCTACTAACTAACATATATTAGACGAATCTTACAAAGATTTAATATGATTAATGCTTATCTATTGTCCACACCAATAGTTGGATGTGGTCATGATGGTCATGATCCATATTGTCCATGCGAGGAGGAGGAGGAAGTATTGGGAGACCAATATCCATACCTCGTAGCGGTTGGAGCACTTTTGTATTTAGCTACATCTATAAGATTAGATATTGCATTTACAATTAGTATTCTTGCAAGACATAGTACACGTCCAATACTATGACATTGGAATGGCATCAAATATTTATTACGTTATTTAAAAGGTACTGAAGACTTGGGATTATACTATACAAAATCGACAGATCCAAAATTGGTTGGATATTGTAATACAAGATATAAATCTGATATTGCAACAGCTAAATGTCAAATAGGATATGTATTTTTAAGACATGGAGCTGTAATATCATGGAAATCAGTGAAACAAATAATAACTGCAACTTCATCCAACCATGTAAAAATTATTGCCTTATATGAAGCATCTCGAGAATATATTTGGTTGCGATCAATTGATAAATTCATTCAAACAACCTGTGGATTTTCATATGATGATTCTCCAACTATCTTGCATGAAGATAATAGTGCTTGTATTACACAGATGCAAGTTGGTTTCATTAAAGGTGATAGGACATAGCATATTGATCCAAAGTATTTTAGTTATACTCA